GTAGGTTGCATGAATCTGTGGAACGAAGAATGTTTTTCCTAAACACGCATTTCCCCGCTTCATTAAATTTTAGGTCAAACATTCTTCGTTCCACAGATTCATGCAACCTACTAGGGTTTTCCTTATCTTCTCTTTCATGGTCACCATATATTTATCTACTTATCTACCGCACTGCACTCAAAATCGGCTTCCTCTTCCGCGCCAGAAGTTGATTCATCCCCATTCACCTCCCTTCGCTATACAAGTTCAAATTCGGCCTATACTTGAATACTGAAGTTGTGTTTGGTTGGAGCTTCGTTCACCTTTCTTTCTCTTTTTGATCGGGTTCAACGTAAGACAATTCGTTTCATCAACGACCTGACCCTAACATATATTATTAATACATACTATATTTATCATATTTCACACTTGTCTGAGGTCAGACTGTGTGCCAGGCAAATCATGGTACAATAATCTTTATAAAAAAGAAAAAAATTCCATGATTGGCTTGTAGGCTGAATACTGCCAGGTTGCCCAGGTCAAGGCAGGTGAATTTTCTTGGGGAATGCACAACCGGAGACTTCGGCTAGCTAAAGCCTGACCCACAAGGCAGTGGGGCGGTGTGTGAAAACCGCAGTCTATTGGGAGCTGGTGTCCAGTTCATCGGATCATACGCCTTTTGGACGAGGTCAAACGTCCAAGGTGCCCAATAACCCTCGATGCCCAATTGAGCCGGTGGTCACTGTCACAACCGAAAAGGTGTGGGTGTGGTTCTTACACCTCCCCTTAGTTGGTTTGGAATTTGGGTTGTTGGCCAACTTCCCTAAGTGAACGATCAGTGGTCCACCAACCCGGTTATAGCCCCGGATGTTGGCTTTTCGGCCTCTCTTTTTGGTGGGAAAACACCTCCGCCACAAAAAGGCAGTGAGTAGGACATCCTCCGCAGAGGCTATTCGAGACGCTTGGTCGTATGGGAGCATTTCGCGAGGTGCAAAGGAAGGGTGACCAGCCGCAACCCTAGACACCCACCCCGGACCATATTGAAATGAACAAATACCCCAAAAATGTAAGTGGAATCATCTCAGGTTTCTTTTAGTCATACGTAAATGCAGTAAGCGATGAACTCATCACTGCTTGTGCATTAGGACAGTACAGTTGTAGAATAGTGCTCCCAAAAGGTACTAAGTATGTGACATTTTGATCTGAAAGGCACATCCCTGACAGTATTCACCGTTAGTGCGTAGTCATAAGTAAGGTTCGCATTACACAAGCATACTTTATCAACAGACAACTTTACTGGTCGTCCGAGAGATTGGACATTAGAGTAATTATGAAAAATATGGAATATGCATATTCGCAAAGCGTTTCAACAGTGAATGATCAAGCCACTGTGCGTGTGCTGTATTGAAGGAACTTTCACATATTCACCTCTGTATCTACAGGAAGCATCCGACAAAACGAATGAAATTAACCCCAGTACACGTTTACTCACAGACAGAGTTGCACGCCTG